TCAGATTATTTCCACTATTCGTAAGTTGAGAGAGTACACGTAACTCTGGCACCTCCCTCACTGCCGTTTCAATACTCTGCACGCATCAGTATCGGGAGAGATTCTTAATCTCCCAGAGCGACGACACATCCCACTGTGTCACTGAGTGGAGTAGTGCCGGAATGTAATACGTCGTCGACTGCCAGCCTGGGCTTGATGTCACCGTTCCTGCAGAGTTAACACGTCCTGATCCCTTTATGTAACACTTGTCACTGTCACTCTCTTGTTTGGTGTTGGGCTCTCATGTCTGGTGTTGAATCACCCTCGGGAGGGTAGTTAAGGCCTACTGACCAAACCAGCAGGTGTATACCTTAACTCTCAGCATAAAGTCTAAAGTAAGGTCTTAAGTGTATGTACACCCAGGTGTGGGATACACGTCTCTGTGTGTATAACTTACCTCTTTCGGGTTTAGTGTGGTGTTAGCTTAACCCTTATGAACGGCGTCAGGGTTATTAAGGCCACCACAATACTTTACTGACCAGCTACCAATTAAACTATTAAGTGTGTATACACTTAGAAATTGGGTACACTTTTTCCTGCACGTATGTCCTTGGTTGCGTCTTCGTTATGCTTCATGACGGTTATTTAAGGAAAGAATGGACAGAGTTCTTAAAATTTAGTATATAAAATATATATATATTTTTTCAAGGAACTGAACATTAAAAATAAAAGTGTGGGAACCGACCTGTGAGATTTATATTTATTTAATTTATATGAATTTATATTTACGTTAATTTGTATACTTCGATAGCAATTTGTATAATGATAAGTGGACTGTATTTCTGCAATAATCTCTTAATCTCACAAATCGATCCTCTACACATTAGGGGGGTTATATTTATATATATGCAGCCAATCAAACTACAGTATTAACTACATACATTTAAGAGGTTCCTTATCTTATAGTACAGCAGGTTAGTCCACCAGGTATAACTAGGGTGTAGACACCAAATTATCCTCTTTGAGGTAGCTTCCATCACCCAGTAACTGGTGCACAAATCTTGCTTCCTCGTCTTGACCTGTCAAAAGGGCGCTAGCTGTGAAGCCAGGTCCTATATATGACAAGCTATATCAGAGAAAACATTATACAGTACATGGAACAATAAAGACCTGGCTTAATTACCTTTAGTTTGAGGCGATTTCGCGTTCTAACCGGCTAACCCTACCCAATGACATTAATGGCCACTAATGATAGATAATGGGTTTCGGAAAGAACACTTAACTTGATATGTAGACAGCGTGTTGAAAAATGGTACACCTTTGGTTTCCATAACACTACGTCCAAGTAAATTTAACAGGAGCCGAATTTGCTCCCGTGTGAGCCTCTGGTCTCAATATAAACAATGGCTGCCCTCCTTCCCCACTGACGCCTGGCTTACATTGTCCACATGTCAGAAAGTGATAGAAGGGTCACATTTACTCTACTTTAATATTGATAATTAAGTTAATTTATATAAGATGTTTTTATGATGGTAAAGTCCAAAGACTAATGTATTTAAGTATAATTCCCACCATAATAGGTGGAGAATATAATAGTATGTGGTGATGATATCCCGTTTTCTATAGACGGTAATTCCACTACAAGTTACGTTTTCTATGGGTAACTTGTTTATACAACACAGCTATTATCTGTATGATTATTAAATGGTGTCGGATTTTCCGACAAAAAGAAAGTTAACGTTTACATGTTTACGTTAGCAAAATAATCTATATTCCACGATAAGAAACCTGATTAGTTTGGTGCCAATATTTACCATGATAAATCGAGGTAAACTAAAATAAACGGAGACAGACCTGAATACAGTTTGTGTTCCTTTGAATCCTCGAAGCGGGAGTGGAATATTCTTAGAATGGGTTCTGTGAGTTCTCCTCCCCAGGCCAGGTTGATCCGGCACTTCTTGCAGAACATGTCGAATATATTCTTGTAAAAATCTACCTTTGTTTCGTCAATATATCTTGTGCTTGTTGGGAGAGCACGGAATACCCATAGACCTCTGATGCTCATAGTGTTCTCTGATTGTGTTATAGCCACCGGGACTACTTTGCATTTCCTACTATATCTTCCGCTCCAGTTTCTTACCACGTATATATTATGTAATATCTCTCGTCTCCTTTCCAGAAAGAGCATTTTAAGAGTTTTGAGACGGTCCCAATAACTTAGGTGCTTTATCGTGTCTATGCGTGTCTTATATGTCGTCTGTATTCCCTAAGAAATTTCTCCTGCCTTGAAAGGGAAAGTGAGTACCGAGCAGTACTAGAGACGGGACAGCACCAGTGATTTGAATAGTAAGCGATTTATGGTGTCATCACTGGATTTTAAGGTTCTCATACTCTTTTTCCTGGCTGATGCTATATTTGCTATGTTATGCTCACTAAACATTGGGTCGTCTGACATTATTTCCAACTCCTTTACATGATTTTTCTTCTGTGATTTGTTCAGTTTTTTTTTACCCTATATTTCGTGTTTTCTTTATTCTTACTGTACCTAATATCTAGAATTTATCACGGTTAAACATATTATTTTCAGTTATCCAATCGAAGACTTTATTGATATCAGCTTGTAGTTTTCAATGTTTTATACAAAAGTGATTTTCATGATGATTTTTGTATGGTGTGCAAAGTCACACGAAGCTGTGACTTGTATTTACGTCTATATATGTTATGAGAATGAGAAAAAGCAGTGGTGCAAGGACTTGTTCCCTGAGGTACAAAGCTTTTCACTGTGCTCAAACTTGAATTTATTTCAGTGACTTACTCTATTCATTCTGTTTGGCAGGAAATTGAATATCCATCGCTGTACTCTACTTATTGTTCCTATTGACCTTACTGTATGGGCTGTCACTCCATACCTGCAGAGGGTTTCGGGAGCTCTACTCCCCGAGCCCCGAGTTGTGATAACTTGGTCCAACAGACTGTTGCTTGGAGCGACCCGCAGGCCCACATATACACTACAAGCCGGCACTTCTTGCAAGAACTTGTCTAAGTGCCTCTTGAATTCCTCCACCTTCGTTCCAGCGATATTTCTAATGCTTGTTTGGAGGGTGTTGAACAGTCGTGGACCCCTGATATCCAGACAATGTTCTCTGACTGTACTTATGGCACCTCTACTCTTCACTGGTTCTATTCTTCATTTCCATCCGTATCTTCCATGGTCACATTCATCAAGTGGCATTGCAAAGTCCGTGTATACAACATCTGAATTGTGTTTTTCTTCTATTGTTTTTGAGATTATCATAGTTGATGGGTCATAGTTGAGTGTGATGGGTAGAATGTATGGGCGTGGAGGGGAGGGAAGGGAACTATCAGGAGGAAGAGTTAAGTCATTACGACTATATAGCACTAGGAAGGAGTCAGGATAAGGATTTGGATGGGACGGGGGGGGGGGGGGGGGGAAGGAATGGCGCCCAACCACTTGGACGGTCGGGGGTTGAACGCCAACCTGCATGATGCCTGACCGTCGCTCTACGTTCAGCCCAAGTGTAAGAGCGAGGGGTGGAGTGTGAGGGGGAGGGTGGGCTGGCGTGTGAGGGCGTGGGGGGTGGCGTGTGAGGGCGTGGGGGGTGGCGTGTGAGGGCGTGGGGGGTGGCGTGTGAGGGCGAGGGGTGGAGTATGAGGGCGAGGGGGTGGAGTGTGAGGTCAGGCCCCGGTAGTAACGGGTGCTGGCAGTGTGGGCAGCTATTGACCCAAGATTTTGTGCGCATTTCCTTCTCTTAATCTTTCAATGCATTCCTCCGGTGTTGCTGTGTGTGTGTGTGTGTGTGTGTGTGTGTGTGTGTGTGTGTGTGTGTGTGTGTGTGTTTTATTAATCGTATTTACTATTTGTGCCTGCCGGATCTGGCTGATAGCTCTTGGACCCCGCCTTTCTAACGTCGGTTGTCTAATATACTTACTCCTAACCTCATCTTCTCTAATAGATCCTCTATTAGATCCTCTATTAGATCTACTATTAGATCTACTATACACACACATGCCCTGGATGAACCCCACAACGGCTGACTAGTTCCCAGGTACCTATTTACTGCCAAGAGAACAAAGTCATAAAGTGAAAGAAACTCTGCCCATTTGTATCTGCCTCGGTCGGGACTTGAACCCGGGCCCCTTGATACTGCTGCTACACTACTAATGATATTAATATTCACCTCTGAACTTTGTGTCTATAGTATACATCGGCCCTCTTAATGGTCTCTGCTGTCGCTGTAGCCTGGTGTCTTGTGTCGCTGTAACCTGGTGACTTGTGTCGCTGTAACCTGGTGACTGTAACCCAGCGTCAGCACCTGTACCACCTTGCAACTCTCAGTCGCCGTAGGTGGAAGAGGTGGGCATTGTGCCAGGCTGGGCCCGGGGTATTTGGGTTAGCAATGGCTGAGTCTCCTCTCTTTCTCTCTCTCCTCTCTTTCTCTCTCTCCTCTCTTTCTCTCTCTCTCCTCTTTCTCTCTCTCTCTCCTCTCTTTTTCTCTCTCTCTCTCCTCTCTTTATTTCTTTCTCTCTCTCTTTCCTCTCTTTCTCTCTCTCTCTCTCCTCTCTTTCTCTGTCTGTCTGTCTCTCGTAGTTAGTAACAGTTGATTGACAGTTGAGAGGCAGGCCGAAAGAGCAAAGCTCAACCCTCGCAAGCACAACTAGGTGAATATACACACACACACATGATCACATGATCAAATGTGTGTGTGTGTGTGTGTGTGTGTGTGTGTGTGTGTGTACTCACCTAGTTGTGCTTGCAAGGGTTAAGCTCTTTGGTCCCGCCTCTCAACCGTCAATCAACTGGTGTACAGGTTCCTGAGCCTATCGGGCTCTATCATATCTACACTTGAAACTGTGTATGGAGTCAGCCTCCACCACATCACTTCCTAATGCATT